GACAAAGGGCATGGCGTCATCATGGCGTCGAACTCGCCTCCGTACGGCGGCCGCCACCTGGAGACCTATCTCGCTACTCTCCACGCTTGGCAAGATACTGGAGGCAGTCGTTGCGGAACGCCTGTCCTACGCGGTAGACACATTTGGCTTGCTACCTGCGAACCACTTTGGAGCCAGGAAAGAGACGGTCCACTGAGCAGGCTCTCCTACTGCTGCAAGAACAAATCTACAAAGCATGGAGAGCCAGGAAAGTGCTCAGCCTGATCAGCTTCGATGTAAAGGGTGCATACAACGGGGTCTTCAAGGACAGGCTACTGCAGAGGCTCAGGGCAAGAGGCATACCAGAGTCCCTGGTTAGGTGGATCGATGCCTTTTGCTCTAAGCGCACGGCGACCATCGTGGTAAACGGGTTCACGTCGGAACGGCAAGAGCTGCCCCAAGCGGGTTTGCCACAAGGATCACCGCTATCCCCGATACTCTTCCTCTTTTTCAACGCAGACCTGGTGCAGCACAAAATCAACGCAAACGGAGGCTCAATCGCTTTTGTTGACGACTACACGGCTTGGGTTGTAGGCCCAACAGCGGAGGCGAACCGCTCAGGCATCCAAGCTATCATAGACAGGGCTTTGGATTGGGAAAGACGAAGCGGCGCCCAGCCCGAGAGCGAAAAGACGGCCATCGTACACTTCACAAGGAACAAGGAGCGATCCTCCGAAACGCCGTTCATAGTCAGAGGGGACACGATCAAACCAAAGAAGAGCGCAAAGATCATGCCGGTAACAATGGACTGCGAACTCCGTTATCAGAAACACATTGCCAAGACGGCAACCAAGAGTCTCACAGCCGTTCTGGCCCTAAGGAGGCTGAAGATGCTTTCCCCGCGAACAGCAAGACAATTGTTTGTAGCGACAGTGGCTCCCGTCATGGACTACGCGGTCAGCGTCTGGATGCATGCGTGTAGGGGAAAGGCGCTAAGCTGGCTGAACAGGGCTCAGAAGATTGGCGCCCTAGCAATCACAGGAGCCTTTCGGACCGTGGCTACGGCTGTAGCAGAAGCCGAAGCGAGCATTCTCTCCATACAAGAACGACATGCCCGGGCGGCAGCCAGACTATGGATCAACATTCAGACATTGCCTGGGACCCATCCCCTAGCTTGGAAGAAAATCCGGACAACAGCACGATTCGTCTCCCCGCTTCAGAAGATCGCCCGTGCGGTAGAAGGAATAGAAACCGAGCAGATAGAAACAATCCAGGAATACACCGTCGCTCCCTGGGCACCTCGCCTACAGCCGACGATCGAAGCTGACCGAGAGAAGGCGACCGAGATGGCCAACGGAGCCATGGGCATCGTGATTGCAACAAGCTCATCCGTGAAGAAAGGCATTGTCGGTGTTGGTGGTATCGCACGAGACACTCTCTTCAACAGGACCAGCGAGACCGTGACAAGATTTGCTGTAACCCTTGGCACGAGGGAGGAGCAGAACCCATACACAGCAGAACTAGCAGCCATCGCAATGGCCTTGGAGAGGATTCCGGCCAACGCCTGCCATAGGCACATCACCATCGTCACCAGGAACCAGTCAGCGCTAGCAGCAATTAGGCAACCGCGACAACAGTCTGGCCAAGGCACTATACGGCAAATTTACGAGTTGGCTAGACTGCACCAAGAAAGAGGGAACTGGGTCGACTTCCTGTGGATCCCAGCGGAAGCCAACTTTGCGTTGGGCCTAGAGGCCAAGGCGGCAGCGCAAAGGACAACGAGGCAAGGACAGATACCCAACCTCCAAATGCCCCAAGCCAAGTCCACCGCAATCAGGCTGGCA